TGGTTGATTGAGAGAAAGTTAACATAAGATTCTTCCATGGGAAGCAAAAATACCAGTGCGCTGCCGACATTGCCAATCCGTGCTGTTCGACCACAGCGATGCACAAAGGCACTAAAACATGACATAGAGCTGGTTATCGGGAGATGCTCACTTTGCTATGAAAAGTAATAGAAAGTGAAAGGGCAAGTTCTATGGAATGACAAATCTAGAGTGCTGTGTACTTCTGACCTAAACTAGTAATTTTAACAACCCATGGGAACCAGTGAAGTATCATACAACAGATCAATTCTCAGGACTGTGCATGTGAAACAGGGTGCATCTCTTCGAGAGGGGAGAGTTTAAGCAAGTTCTAACAAGTTAAAATGCAAAGAAAGGCTAATTTCATTTGAACTTTAAATGCATCATCCCCAAACAACTCTGTGCTTGCTTCCCTGCTCTCATTCACCCTAATATCTCACCTCCTGTTAACTCTTTGATATACTATGTCTTTCTTCAAGAGTCTCTTTGTACAAATATAAGTAGTAATAGGCATTTTAATGGCATTAACCTATATACCCATGACTTCCAACACACGTAAGTGACATTAAAATCATGTCAATTGCAATAGAACTACCATGTTTCAGCCTCCCTTGTTCAAGTATTGTGTGTTTATTCAGGTCAACTTTCAGGCATAGACTAAATGTGTTTTCCACAGCAGTAGATTCCCAATTAATATTTCAACAGTACCGTAACATGAGCAGAGCAGAATAAAGGTTCTTAGCATGTGAAATCATACCTTGCACTGCTAGGTGGATCATACTGTAAAACCCAATGTACTTCTGGAATGTCTATGCCGCGGGCCATCACGTCAGTACACACTAAAATACCACTAGGAAGAAAAAGCAGGCTTGCATTAAACTGGGCATTCATGAGCTGTACCAAACTCCCCACAGTTGTGTATTCTGCAGCTGCACTGGACAATGACAAATAAAATGTGTTCAGAAGAGAGACACGTAGTATAAGCTAGTTGCAGCTTTCATGAGAAAAATTCTTTGTAACATTACAAAAGGGAATCTGGTTTATGAAAGTGCCAACATATCACTAAGAAAAATGACTTCCTTATTCACCATTTGTATTCAACCACATCTGATATAAAATACTATATTGTATTATAAGACCTAAAAAATTAACAGTTTGGGCGCATTATTTAAATAGCTGCTCTTATACTCTGTTGATAATTCTTTCTTTTTAAATATTAAAAGCTAAAACTCAGTTCCCATGCTATAAAACAGGACAAGCCTCTCATAACTGAACACCCTGCAAAATTCATGAGGAATATTTTCCTGCAGGTAAAATACAGAATCACATTGCCAAATTCTTGGTCACATGCTACTAAAATACTATTTTAACACAAGCATATTGTCAGGTACAATTATACATCTCTTACCACTTCTACTTTTAGCTAACTGAAATCTTTTCATATATTCTTACCCCGGGAGCTTCCGAAATTCAGTAAATATCTTGTTACGTTTGTGTTTCATCTTCCCATGAATGCACATTATTTTCACTTGTTTAATTAAGGATTCTAAAGCCTTCCCATAATATTCCACACAGGCACACGTACTGTTGTAATTAAAAAAAAAGGCATAAAAGCAACAGCTTATGTGACATTGTTAATCTGATTAATCTCAATCATGCCAAAGCAGTCCGACTTCTTTCCAAAATATAGACTATGACCTATTTTTATCTAAAATACATCATTTTCAAAATAACATATAATCATCAAAAATACCTTACTTTAAAAATGCATGTAAAATTCATATAGCCTGCTCTGTAGAGTATACTGCAATCCTCACTCAAGGCAACAATCAATCGCTTTCTAAACACAAGACAGCTGTTAAAATTAACAACTTATAAAAATACAACCACTCTGAGCCAAGAACTAGCTATGTCATTTTCAACATTGAACACATTTTTTGAATTTAAGCAATAAAATGCAATATTGTTTTTACAATGAAATCCCACAGGAATTACCTGAAAAAGACCAGATGCTTTTCCTGTTTGTGTTGTCGAAGAAAATGCACCAGCTGATTAAATTTTTCATCCGCTTTGCATATCTACACATTTCAAAAGACAAAAAAAAAGTTCTTCTTTAAAATAAATACATAAATAAAGGACTGGATACAAAGTGATTTTCCCTATTCCCTTCACTCACGGGGACTTAGTTGTTACCAATTTTATCAGAACTCGCAAGAGCTTTATATCTTTCAGATTTCTCTATCCTCTGTTAGTTTACACCAAAATCAGCCCAAATTTAAACAAGTTATCTATAGGGAATGAGAGACCACCATGAAGCACAGAAGATCGCACCATGTAGTAGTTTTCCAGGCGTGTTGGAGTTTTCTGGGTGTTGCTCGCTGCCACCCCCTTCTCCTTCACGGAGATGCGGACAGGATTCCGGAGTCCTGCTCTCACCAAGTTCTCCACTTCTTGAGTCTGAGTGGCTGAGAACAGCCCTGTCCGTCTCTGCTTGGGCAAGAAGTCCAGAATGGCATTTAAGCTGCAAGTAAGCACACGTGAACACGAATGTCCTGACGCTTTCCTCAGGAAGAAGTTTAATCACAGGAACAAAACTAATTTTACAAGTCAGTTGTAGGCCAGGCTCATTCACATGAACCTTCCACAAGCTAATTAAAAACTTCAGGAGCATTGCCAAAATTTATTAGTTAATTACCTTGCTTCAAAGCCCATATCTAGAAGTCTGTCTGCTTCGTCTAATACTAATACATCCAGGGACTTCACACAGCTCGCTAGATCCAGCCCATCTGCTTTTCTTCTGAAGAGATCTTCCAAGCGGCCCGGTGTGGCTACAATGATGTTCCCGCTGTTTGTGATAAGAACACACAGAAATTTCGTGATTGCAAAAACTAAGGATTCTGCGAGGGTGGCTAACAGTTATCACACCACAAATTGCACTCAAATTGACCAGATTTTAGCAGATAACAGACAAATTTCAGTTTGCTACTACTAACTCTAAACCTTAAGCAGTACCACCAAATTTTAGGATGCCCTAATTTGAAAACTCTAAGGACTAGGATAAAACCACAATTCAGGTATCAATTCAAAATACTGAAAGTTAACTTACCCATGTTCTTTAAACTTTTCTACATCTTCCATGGGATTCCTACCACCAATTAAAAGAATCTGACTAAAATAAAACAAACACAAACACAGAAACATTGGAGTTATTTTTTGTTTTTTTACTAGGTTATGAATCACAGAAAGGGTTAGTTGTAACAAGTCTAAGGTCCACCCACCTAAACTGGGGGAAGTGTTTTGTGAAATGCGACAGCACCTCATCAATCTGAATAGCTAGTTCTCTAGTCGGGGTGATAATTAGAGCTCCAACCTGCACAAGAAAAACAAAAGAAAATTACAGAAAATGATAGAAGAAAGATTTAGTCAAAACAGGCCTTATATTGACTTTATACAGTCCAACACTAACCTTATACATACTTTTACTTAAATCCTTAATCTCACCGAGACATTCTGAAAAGATATACGGATATTTAGAACTGAAGAACTTGATCTCACCTGCATTTTCTTTAGTTTTTCTTCCCGCCTAAGAAGAATTTCTAGGATGGGGATTACAAACGCCAAGGTCTTGCCGCTGCCTGTTACCTGCATGAAGCAAAACAGAATCAGCCCTTCCCCTGCTCCAGAAACGAGAAAAATGAGGAAACCAAGCAGAGAAAAAGAAAACTCACCGCTTCTGCAGCAACGTCTTTATTGCTCATGAAGAGAGGAATGGTGGCAGACTGAAAAGAGAAAGAAATACCACGTGAGGAGCTGAACTCGATCCGATGCACCGACTGAACCTCACGGAGGTTCAAGTGTCCCCTCCGAGCGGTCAGCGCCGCGCGGGGAGCCGGGCCGCGCACCTGCACGGGGGTCATGCTGGCGAAGCCGAGGCCGCGCAGCGCGCGCAGGACGCCCGCGCTCAGCGGCACGGGCAGCGAGGCCCAGCCGCCCTCCGTCACCGCCTCCATCTTGCGCGGCCGCCTCAGCCGCGCCCGCCTTCCCGCTCGCCTCCACCCCGGTGCGGCCGCGGCAGCTCCGCCCGGAAACGGGCACCGCCGCGCAAACGTTCCGCCCCGCCGCCGTTCCGGCTGCGAAAAAAGCGTGATTTTAAAAAAACATAAGCATCGCTGCAGGCCCTATACGTACCCGCTACAGGACCAGATACCAGAGAACACGGAGGAAAAGCGCAGCCAAGCTCTAGATTCAGAATTATCTGCAATTTCCTCAGGACAGCACACAAGCTTCTCATCAAGAAAAAAAGAAACCACAAATTCACTTTTCTTAAAGAATTTGTTTATTTATCGAACCTGGGTCATATTTAGATTCACAAGCAATTTTAAATGTACATCTTTGAATTCAATTTGAGTGGTTTTTTCTTTTTTTTTTTTTTACACAAAAATATTGGCACACAACAGCCACAATAAGGTGTAATAGCCACCTTTCTGAGGAACTGCTGCAAGTGTTTGCCCAAGGTTGAAAAAACTTTACCTGGAACATGAAAACCTGTAACAAATTTTAAATTAATTGTACAAAACTGTTGTGTGTTACTTGTAGAGGCTCTCCCCTGGAAAAATTCCCACCCCATCCCCAAAATGATTACAACTAATATACATCAGTCACAACATAATCCTGGCTCAGCACCCACACCAGACACTTCTTTAATTTTTAAACCCATCATCAGATACCAAGAAAAGTAACTTTGTACAAAAACAAAAATCTACATGTGCCTGAAATAAAGAAAACACACCAGTAATTAGCTTTACACTAATTATGACCAGAAAATGGCAGAGATTGCCACTTAACTTAAATACAAGGGCTGCATAGCATTGTAATAAACCCCCAGAGCCATTAACCCTTTGGCATCAGGAATCCAGTTTTCCTGAACACTAAAGCACTGTGTGATAGTGCCAACACTGAGCTTTGGACCTGCGAAAACCAAGGGGTTAACTACTGTTTGCCAAAACACTGCACACAATTGGCTTTGATATAAACCCGTGAAAAACGGAAAACCACATGATGAACATTTGGTAATGAGAGGAGAGAATGTGTTTTGATATCAAGTATTTAATTTAAAAAGAACTTAGGAAACAAGTTGATATAATTAAGATAGTTACTGAAGAACGTTGTTTTAAACAGTAACTAGGTACACATACTAGATTGGAAGTTGTCAGCTGTCTTCTATTCTATTCATTACCAGAATAGAGTTCCAATTGTTTCTCCTTGGCAGTTTATGTAGGCAAAGAAAAGATTCTTTAGATTTCATAACATCTACTGCAGAGCTAAAGATGTCAAAAACACCAACAGTCACATTAGGGCCTTGTACCGTTTCCCTAGATAGAACTGCAAGAACTTATGGAAACAGAAAAAAAAAAGATAGAAAAAAAGACACCAACATTGCTTATTACTACAGTTGAATTACAGCATTTGCAGCCTGCTTGGACCTCGCTTAGCGTACAGACTAGGCAGATTTCAGTGAAAAAATTATGCCAATTAAGTGATGAGATTTTAGCACAGCTTTTGCTACAGAAGATATATAAAAAGATTTCATTTTAACTAGGAAGGAACATAAGCAAATAAGTTTTAAAGTTCAGTAAAGAGGGTTTAGAAACTAAATGACTTTTTTGACCAAGTTGTTTGGTAGACAGTGAACTGAAATCCAGGATCAGGGAAGCATTCTTAAACAACTCTTCGGACTTCAAAAAACCTCTTCAGATAGTAGATTTGTCCCAGTGTCATGGCAACTAGTACAAGAGCTTCAAAGAATGACCAAAGGACCACTCTGCTGTTTGTGTTGTCATTAACTGTTGAAAAAAAAATCTAAGTATGTGAAGAGCATTTAAAAGAAATCTAAAACATTATTTAGAAACACATGTCACTGGAAGTACCCCACCTAAGCCTCAAACTTAGATCACTGATAATTTCTGTACCACATCAGCATAAATGTTTCAGGAGTCACTTCCTCTTTAAAGTAAAAACCACAATTTCAGGTCTCAAAGTCAAGTGAGGAATTTCAGCTTTCTAAAGGTTCATCTTTGGCTTTAACGATTCAGCAATTTCTTAAATTAGACAGCTAGCAAGAAAAAAGTCATTAGTTGCACATACTCATCAATTCAGAAAGTTCAGAGGCCATTGCTTAATGTTGTACTTCACTGCTTCAAAAATTATTTTATTATTTCAAAAATATTCGGCCTTTATTCTTGCTGGACCTCCACTAATATCCTCCTTACCTTAGCTGTCACAATTGCATTAAAACTGTAAAAAAAAAGTTGTATTTTAGAAAGTAAAGATTGAAAGACTGTGAGGTAGCCACATTCTCTATTCAGAGGTTACAATAGTTAAAACCTATTCCAACAAGCCATCTACAAGAGACTTTGGCTCAATTAAGCCACACTCATTTCAATGACTAAATAAAACAGTTCTGCTAAAGTTTACCATTGAAAATCATATCACTACTGACTATCCTCATGAGTACACCATTTATAAATAACTATATAAATTTACAACAATAAAGCAAACATTATTTTGGATAACAATGTTCATGATGTAAGAGGCAAACTAGTTTAAAGAATGTTGCAAATGATAACCTTGAACTTAAAATTAACATTTAAAACACGTCTAGGGGATGGAAAAAGGCACTTAAATACATACTTGCTCTATGTATTCTCTCACGAACTTCCATATATTCTTGTTCATGCTTTACAGCTGTCATGGCCACAGCTAACTCATTAATCATCTCTTCTAGCTTGTTCTGATGAGCTGCAGAATAATTTCAGAAGCATAAAAAGTCTGTCACCGACTCAAAAAGACAATTTCATACAATGGACAAACGCTTAAATTTCCTGCCACATAGGAAGTTCTGAAAGAAGCCTTGTAGCAAAAGTAGTAGCATTTTTCTAAAAATTTCTCTATGGTATATAATGATCAGGCAAATGTCTTTCTCCACATCAGGTAGAAAAGAATGAATGCCCAAGTTAGAGTCAACACAGATCACTTATTTCCAATACGGGCATATGCCTCAATAAAACAATATAAAAACACACAAAATCAGTACCTCTCTAGTACCTACTTTGCTAATATATCCAGTATGTTTTAACAGTTTAACATTACAGCTTTTACTAGTAGGTAAGCTTGCCAAAATAGAACAACTGAGAATGTAGCTTACGATCATGATTCTGGCAAGCCAAGGTGACTTTCTGAAACAATATACTACATCCTGAGACCTTCCTGTTTAGTCAAGGACAGCACTCAGCAGAAACGTTGCCAAAGGGGCCTAGAGGAGGGCAAGAACTTGCCTCAGGTGCTGGTAATGCCACAAAAGCAGAGGAGGAGGAAAACCAGAGGAGGAAGACAACAAACCAGTGACAGTAGAAAGCCAGTCTGAGATAGCTCAGCAAATGGAACGACTAAAGATGTAAGATTATTGATCTGTCAGTCACAGGAACTTTTCTTAATATCTTCATGCTCAAAAAAATGTCCACGTATAAAATTTACAAATTATTGAAGTAATTTTTGAAGTTTTCTAGCACCAAGACGTAAGAAAATACATATGTTGAAAGGACATACTTGACACTGAAGCTACCTTGTATCATAAGTTGAAAACAAACCTATTCAATACATCTACTTTTTGTGAAACAGTCAGAAAAAGGACCAAATAATAAAGCTGATAAAAGTTACAACAATATGAAGAGCTTAACTAGTAGTTACTAAGAGTTTACCCATTTTTGTAATAAAAATTTCACGGCCACTGCAGTATGTGCAGTTTATTGATAAGAGAGAAGATTACAGCTGTATGAATTAAGACAACTGAAAAATATACTTTTAAAGAAGTCTTAAGCATTTACCTTAAAAATCTAAAGCCATATTAACATTCTTATTCAAATATCACATTCAGACTCAATAAGACTTAGCCAAATCTTTAAAAAAACGTAAAAGTTAGATATTTGTTAAACATCTCAAGAGATATCAAGCACTCAGTTCACACGCAGTTAAAAAACTTGCTAAAATAGGAAATAAGAACTTATCTTTCTAGCTACAGTTAATAATTTCTAAATAAAACTTTATAGCTTGTTAACCAATATACTTGTGAACCAATATAATCATTTATTTTACAGCAAATGACAGGTTTCAACATTTTCCCTTGTAACATGACTGTGAATTCAGAACCTGAAAGCAGCAGGCTGTTGCCTCCAAAAGTCCTTGATTACACAACACCTATTTTAGCAATAGAAAGCAAACACCATCTACAATATCTAACATTTCTGGATGTTCAGTGCTTTAGTTCCATTCCACCTAAAACTGCTGATCATGTCTTCTGTTAGCCATACACAATTGCCTGAAGGCAAACTGTCATGGACAGATGAAGGACCTGATCCCAAGAGCTGCCAAGCATCCAGACCTCTCAGTGCAAGCTTGCTGCTGCTCAGCATCACTCGGAATCAGACCTTACATGTAGTTTATTAAAAAGACATTCTCATGCTACAAACAGATGTTAAAGAGAAAAAGCAGACGTTAGGTGTTAGTGAATAAACATATGCACAAGACAGGATGCTAAGGAGCTTTCAAAAAGCAGTACACATACCATCCCAGGTATCTCCACCACCTAGAGAAAAGTGTAAGAGATGAACACAAGTACAGGACAAAAGGCTGCAGATAAAACAGTAATTTACACAGCTACGAGAAAATTTATATATTATCGAAGAGCTCAACTAGTGCACGTAGTAATCTACATAATGCAGAGCAAACTAGAAAATGAAATGAAAGTGAGGAAAAGACTAAAAGATAAAAGCATTAGTTTCTGCTGACAGACGAGGGATCCCCTGATGCTTTTGCATTAAGTTGTGTAATAAGGTCTAAAAACATCCACATCCATTTCAGCTGTGCAAGAAAACAGCTAACTAGACAGGTTGTAGAAACAGGAATCTTGAGAATTCTAGTCAAGTTTCCAAAATCATGCACATACGGAAAAGGCAGAGCTATGCTCTTTCCAGGGATTTTCCTCACCTTCTGTCTCCATGTCTTGCCCCTTTGGAGCTTCCCCAATATCAATAGTGAACATCACTATCTTGGGAGTCATGGTGGACATCCTGTTGCTAAAGCAAAACTTGTAAGTTCCATCCATGTGGGCAGCAAATGTGTATTTTCCACTGGACTCTCGATCACCTTTATAAATCCCTTTATTATCGGGCCCTGTAATCTGGATGAGGAGAATAAAATATCATATATTTAAGACAGTGATTTTGAATGCATCATTACAGCACTACACGCAGATGCTGAGATCATCCAGACTCATCAATAGCATCTCTAATTTGATCACCTTTCTATCTCTCTTCTACAGCCCCAAATAAATGCTGCATGTCTGCCTAGTAATTTTTTTTTGTTTGTTAATCCTGATAAAGAAAACTATATGAAAGCCTCTCTTACCAGCCCAGATTTATGTTGCATCCACAGTCAAGATAAGAAGCATTCAAGAACAAGGAAGCCGCAATCTACCTACAGCCTGGTCATTAGACAAATTAATAACTACAGGGGAAGCCTTATCTCTGATGTTTGAAGAAAAGCAAAAGAAGGATTAAAAAAATGTTCCTTCAGCACCTCAGTGCTGCTTCAGGCACACAACCGTGCACTGTGCATTGCTGCAGCTGCCATCTCAGGTGGAGTCAAGGCTGCAGTACCCAGTACTCAGGGTCATTGTATCTTGTGGTTTTCTCTCCAAGAGCCACCAAATCCAGGTGCTGTCACTGAAATGGGATTTCACGGCTTCCTTTCTGTCCTGTTTCAAAGCAGTGCAAAGTTCTACACATTTAAACCTAACCTCAGAGACAACTCTCAAATGGCTAAACTGTACTAGTCAAACAACCACCTGGTCTGTGCCAAAATGAAAGAACTTTTATCTTTTTCTTAGTGCTCTGGTGATTTTTGAAGAAAGGACCTACCTACAACTTGCAGGTGAAAAGCTGTAGCCTTGTCAGCCAGCAACCCGACTAAACAAGACAATGCTTTTGGACTGAATGGGGCCTTGCTCGTTTAAATGGTCCCCTGGATACAGCTCAACCTGCTGGTTCTCCCCTCCGGTGGCGGTTTTTAACGGGACCACTTAAAGGAACAAGGCACAACACGTCCCTAGAAGGGCTGTGAGGGCAGGGGAAGCGGGAAGGCTCTTCCGCCCGCCGGTGCCTCCTATGGGAATAGCGGCAGTGCCGGGCGCTTCCCGGGGCAGCCTGGGCGCTTCCAGAGGCCCAAGGCGGGAGCCCCGGACCCAAGCGGCCGCTGGGGCCGCGCTCGCGCCGCTCCGTGCCCCCACCGCGCTAGGGGAACGCTCCGCCGCGCCCAGGCCGAAGCGCCGGGGCCTCCCGCGGGCCGGGCCCAAGGTGATGGCGGCCGCCCCGCCTCACCTCCACGTCGATGTCGAGGAATCCCCCCTCGGCCACCTCGAAGATGAGCCCCATCTTGGTGCCGGACGGCACGCGCTCCAGGAAACACTCCTCGGCGTGCGCGTCGATGCTCACGAAGTAGGCGGCGGCCGGGGCGGCCAGCGCGGCCAGCAGCGCCAGCACCGCCCGCAGCGGCGACATGGCGGAGCCCAGCGGGACGGCGGCGCCGAGCGGCGGGGAGCGGGAGGGGGCGCTTCCGCCTCGCGCCGCGCCCCTTCCGGGGCACGGGGCCGCCGCTCATAGGCCGCCGCTACCCCCGCTGCCACGTCCCGCCGGGCTACGGTGGCCACAGAGGGTCCGCTCTGAGGAGGAGGCGCCTGGCTTGTGAGGCGGAGGAGCGCGCGCTGCAAGAGGCGGTGCTTTAAAGAGAGATCGGCCAATGGGGAAGGAGAGAGGGCGGAGCCGCTGTGGCAAGAGGCCAATCAGAGCAGGGGTCGGCAGAGCGGCCCAATGGGAAAGGAGAAGAGGCGCGCGCGGCGGTTCGCGCGGGGTGGGTGAGGAGGTTGTCTGGCAACCGCGGAGGGGCGCGCGGCTGCTGAGGCGACCGAGGCGGCGACACGGGAAGCGGTTGGACCGGGACCGGCTGCGACAGTAACGACTAGGCCGCGGGGGGGCCGGGGCTGCCCCCAGCACCACCAGGCCGCCACCGGGCCGCCACGATACGCAGCAGGCTTCTAGATCACCCAAGAGTAATAGCGCTTAAATAGCACCTTTTATCCTATACATATGAAATTTGTCCTTAAAATGCTTCCTTGCTCATTAACAAGAATATAATCCATTCGGAAATGCAGAAGGTTATGCAGGAGCTTGGGGAGGTCTCTTTTCACGACTAGCTATTTTGATTGTCAGCAGAGGGCTTAAAGATTGAAACACCATCTGGATTTCTGATGAAATATTTATATGCTACATTTTGCCAAGTAAGTGCCTGTTGTACTCCTGGGAATACCCAGGTGCTGATACTGAGGAGCACAGTAGGACGCTTACAAAATTCTGAGTAAAGACCTGCCCTACTGAGTCACTAAAAACTTGCCTTGTCTCCAGCAAGTTTGGATCAGGCCCTAGCTTGAGTACATTCAAGTACACATTGAATCAATATAGTGCTACTTACTGGCCTGTTTTTTCATCTGTCTCAAGGTGGTTTTAGTTAGTCTTGCTATGAGGCATGCTTTTCCTCTGCATGCCTTTGTGCATAACACCAGGAAATTACTTAACATTGACTCTGGCTATGTGTACCCCGTTCTCATCTCTAGCACAAATAAAATAATCAATTCAGAACATAAATTTCCCTGAAGTCTCACAGGGTGTTCTTCAAACATTTTTTTTCAATGTGTTCTTAAGCTGTTTTCCAGGAAAAGATAACTATGGCTTTATCTAACTTCAGGCTCTCTCTGGAAGTTTAGGTATTATACTGTGATGTTTTATTTAATAAGAGTAATAAACAGATGCATTTTTACAGCAAAGTGTTGAATATTTTAATCAAGGAAGGGAATTAAATGTCTAGCCCAGGTTTTTGGTGACTTGCTGCCTTCCTAGCCACCCAGGCTGATGAGTGCCTGCTGCCAGCACAGGAGGAAGTTCAGTTTTGCCCCTCATGACAAAGTCACACCAACGCTGACAGCATCGCTGAGTTCATCAGAGCGTCACCGTCTTTCATATTGTTCAAAATTCCCATTTGCTTGAACACACCACATGTATCAGTCACTTCAAACTTCTCCCACGGCTGCAGTTCAGTTCCCTTGATTTCAGAGTATCTTGTATGAACACATCACACATCACACATCACTGGGGCCTAAAGTGACTTCATGGCACCTTTATTTCAACCATAAGGGCTGACATACATTCTGTGCCTTCTGTACGTGCAACACCTGTACAACCTGGAAGCAAGGAGAAAGCTCATTTCCCTTCAGATGAAGCTGCTATAGATGCATTACCCAAGGCCGGGAGCACACGAAGCCTGGAAACGCCTAGAGGCGCTGAGAGCGAACCGAGCTCGGCTGCAGTTCCCAGGGAACCCGCAAGGAAACCGGGAGAAGGGGAAGAGAGGGAATGGGAAGGAGAAGGAATGAAGCGACCAAGCGCCGCGCCCGCCGCCGGCTCGGCGGCAACACGCATGCGCGGCGCCTGCCCTTGGCGGGCTGAGGGCGGGCCAATGGCGAGGCGGGGCGGGCGGGGGCG